CGGATTGATTTGGACCAACGTTTTCGGCTTGCATTATGTCAAAAGGATGTGTTTGTTGTAATTCATTCTGTCATTTACTACCATTATGCGTAGGCCAATTCATGAAATCATTTCATGCGTTTGAGTAGAAACTGAATGAATGAACACCATTTCATGATTACAATTAACGCGAAATAGCGTTTATGCACTTAGCTTTTACTCAGATCGATGAAATAATTTCGTGAAGTGGACTACGCATACATGTGATACTTATGGTTTTAATTTATAAGGCAATTTTATGTTTTAATACTCTTTCTACCACATGAATATATGAATTCGTGATAAGAATATGTGAATTCGCCTTGGAAGATAGAAAGCGAGTAAGAATAAATGCCGAACAAAGGAATTTCTCTTCTTTCAACTTAAATAGATGCATTTTTCAAACAAAAGTTCGCACGTTACTTAGTACCTTGGTAATGGCGAATTCGTAAGTTTCCGTAAGTTTCCAAGGCAGTTAAAAAATGCGTATAAATCTCGTCACGAAATTGATATAATAAATTTTGTGTTTCTAGTTCAGCTATCGTCACTCGAAAATTTTACCTCAAAGAGGTGTTTTATTTGATATCAATTACTTTGGGGTAGCAAATTTAAAATCGACCAAAATACAAACAATAATCTAAATGTTTTATTTTTCTCAAATAGATTGCTAAAAATGTTATCTAAATCTAAATTATACGGATATAAAGCGAAAAAGAATGATCATATCCTTTGTATTCGAAAAAATCTAAAAAAAAAATTATGAGAAATGATAAAAACGTATCAACTTAGTACTAACTTTGGATATAATAAGCAACTGTATTCGTCTGATTGCCTCGTAGTTTAGTTGTTGTTAAGATTTCTACCGGGTGTGGGGGCACACCTGTGTTTAGACCATCAGTCTAAATATTCCCACAAAGTAATGTCCAGCCCTAAAATTCTGATACATTAGGGATCCGCCCTAATGTAGGCATATGTAGACACAAATACATACATATACATATGTATACGCGCACATATATATTCTGGCCGTTAACTATTATATCCCGCACAGTGACCTTTCGTTAAGTTTCCTCTTGAAGTGGTAGCTAACTGTCCGGCGGTCTAAAGTAAAATTCGGTAAATCCTTTACTTCGCTTCTTTTTGGAAGATCAAAGCGAAGGCATCGCAGCTATCAGGCCTCTTCACTACAGGTAATCTCATTGTCACGAGAAGCAAATATTCTTAGTTGTTTAAATAATTTGACACCAATAAATATTACAAAATACTAATCCAATTGCGTTGTATATATTTTCTATTCTCTTCAATAAAACTACGGGTGCGCTCATTCGAAATCCCTGCGGCCCAACTGGGTGTCTTCATGGTCCTCTGCGAGCCGATTTTTGTTAACCACATCAGCACACCACCGCTTTTTTAACACCAATGCTTATCCCTGCACCAGCAATATTGCCAGAGATTCAGCCATCTGAGCCAAAAACCAGCCAACCGACAACTACAGCACCAATAAACGCAAACACAACCACAACTGAGAAACTAAGGTACGTGGTTACAATTTCAAATGCACAACATTCTAAGATATGAGAAATAGTTTAAACTAGATCCACGCGAGTGAAGTGATTTGTGAGAACAGTTAAATTTAACAAAGAAAAGTTAAAAAATAGCATACGAGCTGTGTCCATTTATCCGCGATTGGCAATCACAGTTTTAACTGGTGCACCGTGCACCCATTATCGACCGTATACACATTACAGTGAACAGTGTCACATCTAATAGGCTCGACGTGCAATACAGTTGGTTTTAGGTTCACGTATACGGCAATCATTTTTTGTTCTGCCACTTGCCACACTCAATTTGCACGTGCGACATCAAGTTTACAAAGCACTGTAATTTATTCGTGCATCACTTTTTATGTAAAATTTGCATTAAACTCGTTCACTTTTTCGGTGGTCACATAACCTCAACAATTTTTTTTTTCACTTTCACGTTTTTTTCACACAATCACTTCTGAGCGCTGGATTTAGTCCATTTGCGTATTATGTCTGTTAATTTCACATATTTATCCAAAATTACTTAGGACCTAAAACCCTATAAAAACGGCAAAATAAAATAACGAAATAGGCTGGAAAAGGCAAAATGAAATAGCGAAAAAGGCAGGAAAAGGCACTAGGTATTGCAAAAACGGCAAAAAAAGGCAAACCAAAATAGCGAAAAAGGCAGGAAAAGGCACTAGGTATTGCAAAAAAAGCAAAATAAGGCACTAAAAAAAGACCAAAAATACAAAGAACAATCAAAAAATAGATTTATTTTAGAAATTTTTATATTACAAGTAAAAAGAGAAAAACTATGAACTAGTTTCATTATATGAAAAATTTGTACTTTGAATCTTTTTTATCCTTTCGAGTTTCTAACTAATAAAACTTTAATCTGTATAGTTGTAGTAACATTGAACCACAAAATGCATTTTGAAGTTTTCTGGCAGCATTTTCATTCTATTTTCGCGAAGAAAAGCCTTGAATGTACTAAATGTGTGATCGACGTAAGTTGATACAAGTGGAGTCCAATTTAAATATGGAACGTCTGAAACGTTCATATTATCAGGAATAAGGGCGTTTTCCTCGCCCTTTACAATTTTATCCACACCCCTTATTGTCTCCAAGCCTACGTTAGCTGAGAAAACGGCTTTGAATTTTTCCAACACCAATTTGGCAAGAGGTGCCTGCGCTTCTATAAGCCGCATGGGCATGTGTATATTTTTTAATCTTAAAAAAAAAATTGTAAATGCTATAATCGCTTTTTTGAAGGTATAAAAGGCAAAAAAAAGGCAAATATCTTAAAAAAGGCAAAAAAGGCAACATCAAATGTGTATATATGGAATCAGGGAAAGCTAAATCGTGGACATTCTTAATCAAATATACTCTATCTATTTAGCAGAAAAAAAGGCAATTTCCATAAAATCCGTTCCCTGCACATAAGTATATACGTACATTCGTCAGCACTGTTGGGTGGCGAGTAGGTAAATAGATTACGCACATAAAAAGAATAAAGATTTTGATCATCTGCAAGAAAAACAAAATTTAAATCTGTGGGTGTTTTTGAATTTTTCTCCTATTCGATTATTAGTGGAAAGCAATTTAGGTTGGTGTTTAATAGTACGCAAAATACTCTTTTCGCAAGTTGGCAAAGGTTTCGCTTATTCATCGGCATACGACTGGTCGGAAATCTTATGGTATACCCATAATAAAAACCAGATTTTGATCTGAGCAACATCATATTTATTTAATAAAAAATAATCTGCAAATCAACTACCGTGATGGAATCATTTATTCGCTTAGCGGAGTCGGTAATAGAATTCGAGGCTGATTTTAGCAGCACGCCCCCCACAGAGCAAAATAAGCACGGTCTTGCTATTCAGCAAGAAGAACTTAAGGCTATGTGGGAAAAAACAAAAGCAGCATACGATATACCTTTAAACCAAGAAGGTTTACAGAAAGAGGATATAAGAGCCATCAGAAAGAAAAAAAAAGCTCGTTCGCGTGCTATGTGAAATGCATGTCTGCAATGGCTTCTCTGTCTGAGTCGCTTGTAAACGCAGAGAAGGATGTACAAGATCAGTCTGTCCGTGAGCACAATATCCACCTCCCTCCGTGTGATACCGATGTGTTCAAAGGCGACTATCTATCATGGCCATCATTCCGTGATATGTTCACGGCCATATACATCCTTAACAAGCGCCTCACTTCGGTTGAGAAACTATTTCACCTCAACCAAAAGACTCAAGGGGAAGCCAAAGACATCGTGAGAAAGTGTCCACTCACCAATGAAGGCTTCCAAACAGCCTGGAAAAATTTATGCGAGAGATACGAGAACAAACGTGTCCTCGTAAATACACAACTAAAAATTCTGTTCAATCTTAATTCAGTGGAAAATTAGTGTGGTAGCTCAATAAAAAAGTTGCAGCGGGATATTAATATTTGCGTATCGTCCCTTAACAGTCACCAAATTAACATTTCGAACTGGGACGCGATTATAATATATCTCTGCTCTACCAAACTTCCCGAAAGCACGCTGGCTCTATGGTAACAAACCATAGAGCACAAAAATGAAATACCAAAGTGGGAGGATATGGACAAGTTCCTATCCAACAGGTTTCAGACTCTAGAAATCTTATCAGGATTAAAGGGGTGCCAAATCCGTAAAAGCGCCAAAGCCACAAAATACACGGTACACCCTAGAAGCTCCCACGAAAAGACTTGGTGCCTTTCAAGCTAGCGTAAACAAGCATTCCTGCAAACTTTGTCAAACAAATGAGCACAAGTTACGCAGATGTCCACGATTCCTTAAGCTTACACCTACTGACAGAGTAGAATTCTTGAAAGCAAGTAATAGCTACCTGAATTGTCTAAGTTCCTTACATACTGTGTCACGATGCACAAGCGCATTTAATTGCACTACGTGTCACGAGCGACATCACACGCTCCTTCACCTTGAGACAACTCAGCCAAAAGCAGCAACAAGCCAGATGCCTACGAGCCCGGTTAACGATATTGCTTCTACATCAAAGCAAGCTCAAGAAAAGCACCATTATGTTAAAAATAATAACGTAAAGTCGTATTACGCAAACACAAATACAGGTGTACTTCTAGGAACAGCTCGCGTGAATATACATTTCAATGGCATAGATTATTCTGCCCGAGCACTTATTGATTCTGGTTCTGAGTGTTCTTTCGTAACCGAAAGGCTCAAACGCATAATCAACCTGCCATCAAAAAGGATGTATGCCCAAGTTTCAGGCATCACAAACTCCACCTCCGCGCAGGTTAAAGAAGCATGTAGCATAGAACTGCGGTCCCCCGTTGACCCATTATTCTGCCTACATACAACTATGCTCGTCTTAACTAAATTAACTGGAAATCTTCCATCCTGCCATATCAGCGCATTGACTATGCAGGCGTTTCCAGATCTAGTCTTAGCAGATAAAAGGTTCTATGTCAACGAACAAGTAGATCTTATACTTGGCGGGGATATTTATCCGCAAATTATTTTGAGTGGCTTGAAGAAAAATGTTCTTAGTACACTTCTCGCCCAAGAAACTGTGTTCGGTTGGATATTAACCGGTCGCACTGACGCACAAAATCCAACCAACAATATAGTTTCCTATTTTAGCGAAGTGGCCTTGGACAAGCAGCTTACTGCTTTCTGGGAAGTTGAGGATTTGCCGAAGAACCAAAATCTTAGTGAAGAGGACAAATACTGTGAGAAACTATATAAGAAAACCACTCAGCGATCCGAAGATGGGAAATATATAGTTTCACAACCTTTGAAGCAGGATTTCCCAATAAATATCAGCCTAGGACCCTCTCTTAAAAGGGCATGCTCACAATTCTTCCGGAATGAGACGCGACTTGCCAAGGATCCCGTCCTACAAAAAGAATATAGTAGGGTCCTAGCGGAATACGAGTCGTTGGGTCATATGTCACAAATACTAAATAATATCCCAGCAGATTCCTCCGACAACTATTTCTTGCCACATCACGCGGTCATAAAGGCAGAGAGCACCTCAACAAAAGCGCGCGTCGTTTTTAATGCCTCAAGTCCGACGGCAAATGGCACCAGCCTCAACGATGTACTTCTCCCAGGTCCAGTACTCCAGGCGGATCTTCCCATACTCATCCTGCGTCGGAGATTATACAAATACGTTTTGAACAGCAACATCGGGAAGATGTACCGGCAAATTATGGTGAATGACAACAAGACCAAATTTCAGCGCATTTTTTTCGTACCAACTCGAATGAACCGATTAGTCTTTACGAACTAAAGACGGTCACTTTCGGAATACACTGTGCTCCTTACCTGGCAATAAGGACACTATTCCAACTAGCTGATGATGCTGAAAACACCTCGATGGATATATTTTGGACCAGGAGAGAGCATCGAGATACATGGCTTCTGCGATGCATCAGAGAAGGCATATGCTGCAAAGTTTTCGTCAATCTTCTTTTGGCAAAAACCCGAGTATCCCCCGTAAAACCTATATCGCTTCCACGATTGGAACTTTGCGGGGCTGTACTGCTTGCAGAAATTATCGAATCGATCCTCAACAACCACGACCTGGGAGAGATTAAAGCGCATTTATGGACAGACTCGACCATTTTGCTAGCATGGATTAGGAAGTCGCCTTGTCCTTGATCAACCTTCGTCGCACACCGAATAACTAAAATTGTGGAAAAAGTTGGCAACAAGGGCTGGTTACATGTAAACTCAGCATCTAATCCAGCAGACTTAGCGAGCAGAGGACTTCCAGCGTCTGATTTGGTCAACAATTCTCTGTGGTGGCAGGGACCTTCTTGGGAGCAAGAAGACAACTCCAAATGGCCCACACAAGAAACGGACTACCACACGATAGTAGAAGAAAAAAGAGCACATGTGTATGCAACAACAAAAGTAGCTGCTATCGACTTTCTTGACCGATTTTCCGATCTACCGAGGGCTTTGAGAGTGTTATCATATATCATGAGATTCTTTCAAAGCACTCATCCAAAGACAAAAGCTTCATTTAAAGAGAAGTCTTGCTTAATTCCATCCGATGAAATTAAGACAACGACACAACGCTTAATATACATCTACCAGAAGCAGCATTACGGTGAAGAATACACGAAGTTAAAAGCAGGAACACCCATCGATGCAAGAAGCGAGCTACTGCCACTTAATCCATTCGTCGACAAAGATGATATGATACGGGCTGGTGGGCGTCTTGAAGCATCCTTGAACTTAGCATACAATGAACGCAGTGTTGCCAGGTCTTCGGCGTAAGAAAACGTCCCTCTTGGTTTGAAAAAACGTCATTTCCTACCCAAATACGTCTTTTTCAAATGTATGCACACAGAATTGTTCTTATTAAACTTTTATTATATACAAAGGTACATAAGTATATATGTAAGGTATATTAAAATGTCTTTTCGACAGAGCACATTTAAAATTCATTGTAAACTTGTTTGAGATCGTTAATATAAAAATCATTTTATACATACACTTGTGATCAGCTGACTAAGTCATCAATATTTTGATCGATGGTGGCTGTTTTGCTTTTGTTCATTTAATGTTTATTATTTTTCCATGAAAGCCTGGCTCATTATATAACAAACAAAATATAAATCCACATTGCAAAAAATATAAAAATTAACAAAGTTGCAGCTAGATTTTCAACTTTTTATTCAGATTTTTAAGAATTTTTTTGAGTATGCAGCTTGATAGCCCATTATTTTCCAGGGTAAAAAATGTGCAAGATTTAAGTTGCTAAAGAATCGTGTTCACAGAGAAAATGATGCAGGTAAAGCGCAAGTTTTTAAAAGAAATTGTAAAATACAATTTTTTGATATAATTTTACTTCATACAAAATAAAAAATACAGTATTTGTTCTTACGACTTTAAAACGAAACATTCGCAAAACAAAAACGATCGTTATAATATATTCACTTTTTTTTTTACTGAGAACAAACGACATTAAAAAAATAGCGTCAAAAATGCGCAATGAAACATTTTAGAATATTGTCCCAACAAGTTGTAGTGCGACATAATTTTCAACAAGCAAGATAAAACTAGGCATCTTTAAAATAAAAACGTTAATTTTTTTTTCAGTCAATTAGATATGAAAAATATTTAAAACTAAAATGTTTTCCATTAGAATTTAAAAAGCTACCTAACTGTAATGAAAAACTTTCATATGTTTGCATCATTTGTCGGAAAAATTGTGTTCAGATAAATAAGTTACTTAAAATAAATAAATAAATAAGTTACATATAAGGGACATTGGTGGACTTCTTTGACCGAAAAAAGCTTTGGTAAGAGTAACTTAAAAAAACAAATTCTTATGGGTTATTAAATAATAATTTAAAACTTTCTTAATTTAAATTACAGGAATTAACCAGCGTTAGCAAGCCCAGCTTGGAAGTAAAGCAGGAACATCTGTATGTATGTATTTATGTACATATGTATATAGTAATATGTTAAACATCTGTATTTCATTCATTAAATGTTGTAACTTATTTATAAGTATATGTATATCAATATATTTTTGACAATTTAGGTACCAAACGACTTGTTGTGATTTAATAAAAATAAAATTTGAATATCATATTTGAAAACGCATATTTTTAAAATGAAAAAAAAAAACATTTTAGGATTTAATTTCAACATACGCCTATTCAATTATCAAACAATCGTTTTTAAAAACGATTTGAAAATGTTCGTATCAAAAACAAAAACATGGATTTTGGAAATTGAATTGAAAATTTTCGTTCTCAAAATTTAAATAACTATTGTAGGTGCAAAACCTGGGTCAAAACGTTTTTAAAAGTAAAACGTTCCACACAAATTTGAAAACGAAAATTTCTCTGTGTTGATTTTTAATATTTTTTTTTCTCTTGTGGACATTTGGTTAGGTGGTCGGTTGTCGAAAATACTAAATTACGTTCTGCTACGAAGGAACATAGCAATATTTCTGCTTTTTTGCGTTCATTACATTTTCAATGAAGTCTTAAAAAAGTCGCCAACTTTTTTCTGATCTTTTATGCTGCTACAGCTTTTTTGGTGCTTTTGCGAGCGTGTCTGTTGCAATAGATCAGCTCTTCCTGATTTGGCTTTTAATGTGCAATTGCTTACAGCTTGTTAAGATTTATTAAGAAAATAATTTAAAATCAGTTCTACTTACAAGATTTAGTAACAGATAAAAATTATTGGGAAGGTAAAAAACGTCATTTCTTGCACAAAAAACGTCCGAACGTCAACAAGATATAAAAAACGTCCAAATGACGTTAAAAACGTCAACCTGGCAATGCTGAATGAACGCTATCCAATCATTCTTCCTTACAACAGCAGGTTGACTCGACTACTGGTCGCTTTCATACATCAAGTATCCTTGCATGGAGAAAATCAGCTTATGTTACGCCTCATCCGTACCCAATACTGGATTCCCAGAGTAAAAAACATGATCAGGTCCACTATCCATAATTGTAAGACCTGTATTATCTATAAAAAAACGGTCTCAAGCCCAACTTATGGGTACTCTTCCTCAGGAACGCACAACCTTTTCGCGGGCGTTCACGAATACCGGGGTAGATTTTACAGGACCTTTCGATATCAAAAGTTATCGCGGTCGGGGCTGTCGAATTTCTAAAAGATACGTCTGTATCTTTGTCTGTTTTGCCACTAAAGCAATTCATCTAGAAGCCACTAGTGACCTTAGCACACCATCCTTTCTGGCAGGATTTGCTAGATTCGTTGCCAGAAGAGGATGTCCAAAGAATACCCACTCCGACAATGGTACTAACTTTGTCGGAGCCTCTCGATCTTTACGATCTGAAATGAAGGCCTTTATAGCTGACGCACGAGACAAAACCGCATCTAAATACAATCATCAAATGCTCACTTGGCATTTTATACCCCCTGCAACTCCTCACATGGGCGGGCTGTGGGAGACGGGTGTAAAAAGCTTTAAGAGCCACTTTAAAAAGATCGCATCCGCGCACAAATACACATTCGAAAAGCTCAGTACTCTTCTATGCGGAATCGAGGCATGTCTCAATTCGCGCCCATTAAGCCCTTCATGAAATGAGCCTACAAATCTGGAGCCACTCACTCCAGGCCATTTCCTCATTGGGGGACACCTTCTTGCTCCACCAGAGCTAGAAGTGAATGAGAATCCGGCCTCCATAGTAAACCGGTGGCAGAAATTGAAAGCTTTGCATCAAACCTTCTTCATGCGATGGAAACTTGAATATCTCTCAGAACTGCAAAGCGTATCAAGTGGAAGCATCCCAAGCAAAATATGAAAAGTGGAGATCTCGTCGTTATAAAAGAGGATAACTTGCCGCCCAACGAGTGGCGACTAGGAAGAGTTGTCAAACTCCCCGGTTCCGACAACCGAGTGCGTGTAGTGGACATCGCGACGGAGAAAGGACAAGTTAGGAGGCCCTTCGTAAAATTGGTCCTACTTCCAGCCAACAACGTAGGAAGCGAGGACGGAGAGCCAACAAATACTTCGTAAATAAAAAAAAATCTTTTAGCGACCACTACTCTATTCCATTACGTAATAGGCCATTATTATCCCACTTCCTCACTGATCGCAGAATTCCGCTTCCACCTTTGGAGTGAATCCTCCTCAAAATCCCATTTTAATCCCAATTTAGATTTAATATTTATTCGCAACGCGTTTAGGGTCAAGATGGTTCTTGGCCGGGTTTCCCCGGGTAGATCTGATGATATAGAGCCGACCATCTCTACATAGATCTATTAACCACAAAGATTGTCATAGCATATTCTGCCCCAGAAATAGATGAAAAGGTTGAAAAGCTAGCAACCATGATGAGCAATTGACCCCGGCTTATGGAACTTAACCTCCGGATATTATTCAACTGTGTTTGGTGCGTATGGCAATTTAGCCCGGATTGTTCACTGGGTTGCCGGTTTTCCAACCACACACCATATATGTATATCTTTATTCAACAAGAAGCTAAGGCAAAAAGATGCAGACCACACAAAATGCGACGAAAACTGACGCAAACCACACATAATGCAACAAATTCGTGGGATTCATTGTTTTTGGGTAGCTCGTTTCTTACATTTGTATTTTTCGACATGCTCATGGTACGAAAAGCGGCAGTTTTTCATATATTTTAACCAGGGTTGGGTGAAACGTAAAGGAAAACGATCTTATACTTTCACCCCCCTGTGTCAAGACCACTCAATTA